TAACTGCATAGTGGCATTAGCAAGAGCATTTTCCTCAGAAATTTGAAATGGCATTACCTTTTTTATTTTAGGGCTGTTAAGTTGAACTGTTCCTAGAAGCATGCAAGGAAGGTTTCTTTGTTTTAATATGCCTAGTTAATCTACAACTTAGATGTCCCTGGCCAAGTAATTGACAGATGTTTATTATTTTATTGCTAAAATGTGTGCTTTTAATAATCTATATAATAATTATTTGATTCATACCTGAGGTACTGTGTATTTACTTTGTTCTTAGCAATCTCTACAAGTCACAGAAGCTGCTGTCTCTGTCCATTGAGGTGCCAATGTGGCGTATGGGTCCACCACCAAAAGGAGGTGCAGTAGGCCAGGCAGAGGGGTTATCAGGAGAGTTTTGGAGTTGGCGTGGTGAAGGAACAGGGATTGGAGAATATGATGAAGACAGCCTAAGCTTCATCCCTGCTGTGGCTTTGATGCTTCTTTCTTGCATAGTGGTATTTCTAGCATATCGGTACTACCGCCAGCGAACACGGCCCCGAAGGAAGCGTCCGCCACGTCTCAGAAGAATCATGGCTGTTTTGAATGCAGGTCGTGTCCCAGCAGTTTAACAGAATGTAGTGAAATAATGTCTTCCAAAGCGGTACAGTGTGCCAAACAACTTATCTGTGTTGTTACCAAGCATAGAACATCATCACAATTTTTAATGTCTTACATCTTTTCTTGTATTATAATTAAAAGTGTATGTTATGATGCACATGAGAATGCAGACATAATCCCAGTGATATGTGTAGCATAATTTACCATACCATACAATGGTTAGGAAAGACTAAACCAGACAGATGTATTTCAGGTGTCATTATCACATTCATTCGCTCGCACTTCGACTATATATATATATAAGTTTATCATTTTTATCCACATTTTATTGCCATTGCACTGATAAATTAAATGTCATTAAGATGTATTATGACTATTTTTATTGTGTTGTCTATCATTTTGTAAACATTTTATTTTTAAAATGTTATATGAATTTACTTTAACTTTAAAATAATATAAAGTTTATTGTTTCATGTGTAAATTACAGCATTTACCTTTTATCAAATGTCTTACCAGTGTCCACCCTCTTCCTCACTGAAACAAGAGTGGATTAATGTACTCGACTTTGGGGTACACATATATTCCAAATGTGTTCTTACATACTCATTGTTGTTGATGGTAAATAATGATAAACATTTACGTTATCAGATAAGATAATAATTCTGTACATATCAGTTAGTCCTTATTCTGATAATCACATAAAGAATTCAGAACATATTTAATTTTATGGCTTACATTACATGCCATACTTAAAAGTGTGAGCAGTTAAAAGGAAAATACCTGTTAGGCTAAAAGTTGGAGAACAGCCAGCTTAATATAGTCATTTTTACTTGTTTCTCCAGTTAACCTTGCTGTTATCTAAGTACAGGTATCTAAATTCTAAATTGCAACAGGGTGTCTGTATATGTGAATGAACTACACTAAAATCTAACATTTATTTGTGCCACAAATTTAACAGACTTCAATGAATGAACAGTGTGTTTATTTTTTCATGAAAGGTCACATATTTTTTTCTTTTTTAAGATTATAATCTTTGCTCGAAAGAGATCTTTTGATTTGGATATTAGTGTGGAACTTGCAATAAGAGCATTAGAAAAAGTGTGGTATAAATTTGACTATCATGTAGATTCCGTGACATTATCAATTTCAAGGAGAATCCCAGTATTGCTAAATACACTCCCATGACAATGTGCAAAGGGAAAGTACTATCTGGTCTCTTGACACAATATACTATAATCTGAAATACCCAGTGTCCATGCTGTTGTATTTCAGATTGGTAGTGTTTGCCTTAATACTCTCCACATAAATGAATAGGGCATATGGCTTCCAAATGTATTGAAATTACTGTATTTCCTTGTAAGTGAAGTAACTGGTTTAAATATAAATTTACTCAGTTCATACTGAACAAATAAATTCAGCCACTCCTTTGAAGAATCTGCAATATTCATATTTCTTTCAGGAAAAAACGTAACTGTCGGACAGGAAGGAATTTTTAAAACTACGTCTTAACGCAGTGACCTTGAAAATCGGTTCACGTTTAACCTTTTTGTCTGTGTTAACAGCATTTTTGATAGGAATGTTCACTCTCCATGCAGGGAAAGTTATTCCATCCTTTGGAAATTACTTTTGCTGCAATAATCATACTTGACGCCTCTTTCCAGAATCTGGAAATTTGTATTTTAATTTACGAACGAATAACAGAAATTGCCCATCTTTCATTGACAATTCAAAACTTTCATTATCGTCATTACTATTCTCAAGTGTTGATTTTCTTTGTTATTCCACGTACTGTATTTACGCGTGTCAGCTGCTTACGGATTTCGACCAATCATATTGAGAAAGGTAATAATAACCACCCAATGACAGAGCGCCAAATATTCTGTAGCATACAGGATATAGGCCTATATTAAATTTGTACTTTTATTGTTAGAAGGTAAATATACGTATGTCTTGACTTGCATCACAAATTATTGTTGTTGTGTTTACTTGTACGTATACGGAAACTAGTTTTGATGTATATTCACAGGCTTCTAACTATTTGTTCAGCTCTTACAGGCTGTACAAGTAGGCTTGGTTAATGTCAAGTTTTGGGCTATCAGGAGCTGTGTTCGGAGTATGATGTACCTTACATTACTCTACTCAGACATAATTAGCATTTATCAGTGGTAACAGTGCAACTGATAATTCGAGTACAGTGTTCTTTGGTGACAATAATATTATATTTCAGAAACTGCTACAGGAGTTGAAGACCTATCTCATTGGTTTTGATTTGTGATGGATATGATTGATATGCCCGTAACTTTAATTGTGAAAGCGCCTAATCAGCAAGTAGAAGATCAAAAAATTCATTGTGAATTGAACTGGACTATAAGAAAGCTCAAAGGCTATCTATCAGAAGTTTATCCCAGTAAACCAGTAAGTTTTGATTTAGTGAATTTATATTTTTTTAAATCAGTGTGCAAAACTCGAATAATATTAATGTTTGTGTAAGTTCATTGTATGTTGTGTTAATTTTTAAAGCGTACAGAAGATCAGAAGTTGATATACTCTGGGCAGCTGTTGCATGATAGTGTAACACTGAAAGATATTTTACGTCGGTATGAAGGCCAAGAAGCACACACTGTTCATCTAGTTTGCACCCCCTCACGAGACTTGGTACAACATGTAAGCACAGTTGTAACAAGAGCACCATCAAGAATGCATGAAAATGGACAGCTTTCTACAAATTCTTCAAGAGGTGAGTGGTTTTTGGGTTTGGATGTAGTCTTGCTTATGCATGTTGGTCTTTAATTATTTTCATTTTCTTCCTAGCTCATATAGAAGAAATCACAAATTAGTTTTGTAAAAGAAGTGCATTTCTGATAGGAAAAGTGATGAAAGTCATTTAAAAATATTATAGATTTGTCTTTGCCATGAATGTGTCATCAAAATGAAATACTTCCAGACCTGATGACTACATTTTTGGTGTGATGGGTTACAACTTGTAAATTTTCTTTCCCCATACTCTAGATGTTTCTAGGATAATCAATTTGCTGTTTGTTGCATGTGATTAGCAAGTATTCTGCAATATTATGATATTTGTTTATGACTTGTCTTATCATAATTCATAATAAATGTATATAGTTAGTTATTTTTTGGTGATGCACAGGAGTTCTTAATAGTCTTGGGAAGTATCAGAATAAGTAGTTAATCATTGTAGTTTATGAAGCTGGTGAAGATCATAATGAAATTTACAGCCTGATGATTATAAAAGGAAGTTTTTTGTGAAAATTCTTGAAGTTAATTTTTTAAAAGCTATTTATAAATCTGAAGAACTGTGATGCAGTTAGGATACAAGTGCTGTATATTAGTTTAAATGAACTTGGAATGTTACGGTGCTAGATTGTAAGGATGGGAGATTGATAAACTAGGTGATGATTGTGTCCATTTGTTGGCTTTGGTGTTGGTGGTGTATTTTACTTCTAGGCATATGCTTTATTAATGACATGTGCACCTCCTGTAAAGGAGTTTTTTAAATATTAAATTATTTACAATTGTGAACATTGTCTTACATTTCTTCTTAGCTTGCATTGGAAAAAGTGTATCACATAAATATATAAATGTTCATTATTGTGTTATTTATAGATAATATACAAAGCCAAGAAACAGAAGTTTCGTCTGATGGACTCAGGGAACGCATAAATACATCACAGTCTTCAGAAGGTCTCTATTCATCACCACTGCCCCAGAGTGGTACAACAAATGGTCAGTTTCCTTCACCAGATCCCAGAGCATTCTGGGCTGGAGCTGTGGCCAACCCATATGCTTCTACTCCAGGATATGATCCAAACAGTATGTCACAGCAAATGTTATGGATGCAGCAGGCATATGCTCATTACGTTACACAGTATATGCAAATGTAAGTTCACTTGTGTGTATCATTTTTATGAAAGATATTTTGTTGATTAAATCTGGCTTGCTTTGATGGCTACAAGATATTCAGATAACATAGTTTACTTTCTGCATATGAATAAAATTTTTGTACAAGTATAAATTTTCCATCTGCAATCAGGTAATACACTACTATTTTGTGGGTGAAGGCATGTAAGCTACAGTATAGGATTGTAACTGTTTCCTGCATCATGTAATTTGTATATGCAGTTTGTTACTGTAGTTAAAAATATTAATATAACTTCAGACTTTCTTCTAATGTGAAATATTGAAGGTTAATTAGTAGTATTAAAATACACAGGGCAGTATTTGCTTTTTAATACTCCTGCTGCTTGTGTCCTGTCATTGACTTTACAAAGTTATGTAGATGAACTCAAATTTAATTTAATTTATTTTACTCTTTTATGTTTGCAGGATGGCATCTGCTGGAGTTCCTCAGAGTTGGTATCCCTCTAGTCATACTGCAGTTCAAGTTTCTATACCCCAGCATGGTCCTGAACATGTGCAGGCCCCTCCAGTTAATCTCCAGGAACAGCCACCTGTTCAACCAAATAACATTAATGTTGCAGGTGGGGCTTTCTTTACAATGTTCTGGTTTATATGAAATGCATAGAACTGGGTTTGAGCTGCATGTTTGCAAGAAGTAAGGATAGGACATGATGTGGTCTGTCTAGTGTGATAAACTTATGACTTTGATGACGTTTCCTTAATCTGTGCCTTTTATCACAAAATAAAACAGAAAATATTGAAAATAAATAGCACTGCAAATGCATGGCCTATTAGATTGTTTTCTTGTGTCCTATTTTGCTGCAACATTTTATTGTTAAGCCCTGATATTTTGCCAAGGGATACAGAGCTCATGCTGTTGTATGTATGGGATGATTTTTTAAAGCTTAGTAATTTTACCTGCTTTACAAGTGTAACAAGCCATTATACCAGTTAAGATACATTTAATTTAGAAAAGTAAAAGACTAAATGATTGATGGTTGTCAGAGAATGAAGGAAGTTGTGATTGTAAATAGACCAGATTTTTTTTATTAGAATTTAAGAGACTTAATTAATCTGTACCAACAAAAACCTGCTTTAAAATAATTTTCTTAATATTTTAGAAACTAGTGCAGTCAGTGTAGTCACTGACTACGGATTGGACGACTGGGGTTTGATCCGTGATAGGGACAGACAATTTTTTCCTCTAGCCTTTATGTCTAGATTGACTCTGGGGCTCACCCAGCCTCAAATCTAATGGGTACCATTATCAGGGTCCTTTCTTGGGAGTTAAGCAAGATCACAGCAGGATGCTGGCCACTCACTCCTATCTAGTGCCAAGGTTAAGAGTGAGTAGAAGCTATACCGCCTCTCCCCCCAAGCTTCTACATGGCATATAGCAGGACAGAAAAAAAAAGTGGAGAGTCTATTGTGTGAAGTTCTTGCCTGCAAATAATTAAGAAATCCATGAAAGAGTTTTTGGTCATACATACTTTTATTTTGTCATATGTCCAGAAATCCTTGTTTATTGGGGGATGTCTATAATATTTATATGTCCTGAGATAAGGGAAATAATTCAAATGGACTTCAGTATACACATTCATTTTAGTAACTGCAATTTCTATAATTATTATTAGAAAGTTTAAAGATGTGATTGCAGGCAGTGCGATGTCTGTACATTGTAAAAGTGTATATCACATTAATGAGTTAGTTTAGTTTAATAGTTACAGAAGCATTCTAAATAGGGTGGTTGGCATCATATTTTGTCACCAGCAAACCATATTCTGTCTCTTACCAATTTAGGGACAGTATTTTCTCTGTGATTTGTATGAAATTCTTGCGATATAGTTGTTCACTGCATTGTAGCAATTTATTTTCTGAAAAATTGTGTCTTTGTTACGTAATATGCGTATTATATTTATGCTGAACAGAGGTAGAATATTATTTTACATGCTTTTGGTCAGGTAGTGTTGCTATAGGTTGATTGTTGTATAATAGAGTAATTGTTATCACAGATGGTGCTGAAGAAGAGGAGGAGGGACGGGGAAACAGAGACTGGCTGGATTGGTTCTATACCATGAGCAGAGTTATGGTTCTCTTCAGTATAGTGTATTTCTACTCATCACCAACTCGATTTGTGATAGTTTCAGCCCTTGGACTCGTGTTATACCTGTGAGTGTGAATTGTACTGAATGTATGGATTGTGGTCTTCTGGATTCTAACAATGTGTAATCTTTTACCGGTATTTCTGAGGAATGTATTGTCTCTGCCTTCAGAATAGCATTGAATATATGTGGTTTCTAAACAGTCTTGCTTTCTATAGTGGGTTTAGCCCTGAATTTCATTATAACTTGGTTTTCTACATCAGCCATAATTTATTGCTGTAAAAGAAAGCATGCATATACCAAAAATGAAAATGGAATACCAATTAGCTATTATACATACTTTATCACTATGTTTACATTTTTTGTATATGGGTTGTCATTTTTAATTATTGTTGCTTTAAAAGTCTTCCACATATGTGAGGCTATGTGTACAAGTGACCAGATTAATAGAGGAACCACAAAAGATATCACATAAAGCTCAAGGTAATGTAATTAGATGGCTTGTGAAAGTTACAATTAATGCTTAATTTATAATTTTGTTTGTTTGTTAATTTTTGTACTTCAGCTATCATTTGGGCTTTTTCCGAGCCCAACAACTGC